GTAAGCCACTGCCGTATTGTTATTCCTCTGGCGTGTAAATTCTATTCGAACCTCATCATAGTCGGGTAATGGATCATCTGTATCATCATCAACGAGTGCAGAATCGGATTCGCCATCTCCTGATATTACACTTTCACTGCCGTTCAGCAGGCTGGAGAGTGTCCACTCCATAAATTCAGTATCCTCTGAATATCAGTCACTAGATGATCACTTTGAGTCCTACAGGAGTACTCTCCTGACTTGAAACCTTCTGTTAGTCGCCGTATCTTTTCCCTTTCAATCTAAATTGTTATTATTCAGAATATGTTACTGTTCAATTTTGTTCTCTAATATAATTTCAACAGCACCAAAAGTCACTTGAATATGTTTCCTACTAATTTTGCACATCGTTGCAAAAGTTAAGAGTTTTTGGTGGTCAGCACACAATTTGCTGGTACTGTTTTGTAACTATAGTATATCAATATGGATCTAAATTACATATGTCCAAGCGGCTATCAGCGAATATAACTAATTTATTCATAGATGCAACTCGCCACTGTGATGAAGAAGAAAAGGGTTTAATGAGGCTATTTGTAATTAAATAAAGTGTAATAATTTTACAAGAAGAGACCAGGTGTCCAAAATAGTAGTATGTTATCATTGCTCACTTGACGCTTAAACGGTATTTCCACAACCGTACACAAGTCACAATACAATCTGCAATATTCACGTAGGAACTTACATTAATGCCATTAAAATGGCAGCTACAACAACTACTTTTCTTTCACTGTCATCGAAAACCTTTTTTTGTATTTTCATATTCACAGTTCACCAAATCTATAGCAAATACTTATACCATTTTAGCCTTACATTGGCATAATGGTTACTTTCGAAATTTCGAAAGCTTTGCAGGTGACATGACGAAGTATCTACAGACTTGGAAGAATACTCGTATATGGTCTTTTACCTATATGAAACACAAAAAATCAAACAGTAACAAGCATATAAGAAAAAATAAGTCTACAAAAATGTCTCCACCGTACCTAGAATTTTTGATATTAGGCGTATTCAAACAACCTATGAAGAAATGTACACTAATGGAAGGTGGGCAGCAATGAAATTCAAAGTTGTGTAAATAAAAAATGTTTCACATGCAAAATTTCACAGTGAGTTCTTTTTAATATTTTGCTACACAACGCTTTGGGCGATTCTCGTCTACTTCTATTTGTCTAAAGAACAAAGGCAACAAAGAACTTACGTAATAAATGCATAACGGAATGCCAAAAGTACAACATTATTTACTTTGTCATATTTTTTTAATTCAGATATTACCTATTCTTGTATATCTTCTTTTGTGTGATGCAAGGCAGTCGTTAAAAAATTTGTTTTATTTGCGGAATGTTTGTAATAATTTTTTTTATTACAATGTTTAGTATTGCTGGAGGATGGAGTCATTCAAACGCAAGTGCGAAAAGTTCTCTGATCGCCATTCACTTGAGAGTGACCAGAAGCGATTATTTGGCAAATGGCTCAAGCAGCTCACGACTTCCGGTCTTTGATCAAGTATCCTCTGGGTAGCCTAAGAATATCCGTTTGAAGGCAAGCTAAAGTGAGAAGGCGAAGCATTCCCTCCGCAGGGATGTGCGCTGGGCGTGGGACCCGCCACGTAAAAAATCATACCAATGAAAAGGAACAACAAGCCCCGAAGGAGTAACTCCCCTTTTGATGACGACCATGACAAATGAAATAAAGACTACCAATTGAAGTTTGGTGTGGTATTCGTTGTGGGAGAGAGACTCCGTCGCCGAGTACTATCATTCACTCCGGTGAATGAACGTCTAGCCACAATCCGCATCATAGCGAGGTTCTTCAACATATCGCTGATTTGCGCCCACTCAGACAGCGGCTACGCTGGCTAGGTCATGTTATCCGAATGGGCGAAAACACGCCAGCTCTGAAAGTATTCGACGCAGTACCCGCCGGGGGAAGCAGAGGAAGAGGAAGACCTCTACTCCGTTGGAAGGACCAGGTGGAGAAGCACATGGCTACGCTTGGAATATCCAATTGGCGCCACGTAGCGAAAAGAAGGCACGACTGGCGCGTTGTTGTTAACTCGGCCATAATCGAGTAAGCGGTTTCTACGTTAAGAAGTGTTAAGAAGAAGAAGAAGTATTTCTTACATTACGTAACTGTCATTTTTACTGTCTATTTGGTTGCACTACATCTGCCTCAAAAATTTTTGGTTGAAAATGTAATTAAATATTAGAGCTTTCATTAAAAAGTAATTTGAATGCAATATGCCGATTACCAACAATTCTGCGCATATGCAAAGAACAAATAAGTCTACATGCTAACACCCTTCATACAAAGCGATCACAAGTATGCGTTACAAGGCTACGCATTGTGTATATCGAGAGGAAATGAGTAAGCAAAAAGCTCAGCTATCATCGAAGCAAACGTGAACACCGAAAAGCAGCTGACTAATTGGAATTGTTTAAATTATTACATCGAAATGACAACTGAGCTAAATTGCTGAAGACAATGAGGCAGAAAACAATTAAATTTGCATGCGCTTATGTGAAAGACTCGTAAAATGTCAATCATTTCACACAAATGTGCGTCAACAGCAGCCACTAAAAATCACAATAAAATCCGCAGCTCGTTCAATTTGCGGAGGAATTTTTTGCAGAAAAATTATGTGTAGAAACACACTGGCAAAATTTAATTATTTCAGGAAACAGATTTTCACTCCCACTCCTTTCTCTACTCCCGTTTTACTGCTACCCAGTCACGAAAAATTGTGAAACTCACCGGTATCTATATTTGACCGAATATACCACTCCAGCAAGCAGTGAAAAAAATATAGCAACCGTAGCTGACAGTATACACGAAGACCATAGGGTGTCGGTTCGGCGCCGTTCGCAACAACTCGGACTGACGTATGTCACGACTTAGCGCATTTTACTTCGAGATCTTCAATTGAAAGTGTACAAAATATAGCTTGAGCAAGAACTGAAGCCTTTCAACTTTTCCAAGCGAAAGATGCGTCGTTTTTGAGCAAAATTTTCTTCAGAAATGAGACCTTTTTCTGGCTCTCTGGGTATATAAATAAGCAAAATTACCGTGTTTGGGATGAAAAACAACATGGCGAAATTCAAGAGTTGATATTTCATCCAGAAAAATAATGGTTTGGTGTGGTTTGTTGGCCAATGGAATCATCGGTCCATATTTCTTCAAAAATGAAGCCGGTGAGAACATAATCGAAGTTGAAGCTAGTGATCTTGGTTTTAACAAGACGGCTTCACTTACCACACATTGCAACAATTTTTGGATATACTGAGAGAACACTTCGGTGAGCAGATAATTTCACGTTTCAGGCCGGTCGTTGGGCAACCAAGGTAGTGTGTATCACACCGTTAGACTTTTTCCTGTGGAGATTTCATTAGCTAGTTACCAATCGAAATGCACGAACGAGTCATCGAAAATTGTATTCAAAGGATGGATCATCCAAGACATAGCCACGGCCAACATTTGAAAGATATAATTTTCAAAAAATAAATGTCAAAGAATGTTCTTTCGAATGATAATAAACATTTCCCTTTAAATTTGAAGTTTATGCGTTTTTTTTTTAAGTAGGGAAACTCGAAATTGATCACCCTTTATAGTACTAAACGCATTAATCATGATTTCAAAAGCGTAAAAGAGGCAATTACTTACCAAATATTAATGAAATAGCCTAGTTTAAACTTTAGTCTTATGTGAATAACACTTTCAGCAGCTTTTTGAACAAAGAAGGAGTCTCCCCAGATAGATAGATTGACCTCCTCTACTCAAGTCTGTTATCATAACAGTTCATTCAACACACTTGAATAGATTAGGCTCAGTAAAGTACTGAGTTCATGGTTATGATGTGTTCGCTCACTCTCTTATTCGTGCTCGTGCGTTTCTGTCCGCGGTCACAGAAATGACACAGATCTGTGATACAGTAACCTAATACGTGCTTTAATCTCCAGTGACCTAAAATTTAGCTAGCTGAATTAATTTGTTCCGGCGGAAAAACTGATTCTGAAGCATCTATGCCCAACCCTGTTAAGCATTATCATTGTTGTTTTGATTTCAAGTGACATATTGCCGAAAGTATTATATTAAGTGACTATTACTGATAATGATAAAACTTACTCATAAAATTGGCTGTAGAATATCTGCACATCTGCAAACAGCGAAGACCATAGCTTTGAAAATGCTTAGAAACCTGCCCATGGGCATTGGCAGTTTGACGCGTGGCCCTCTTATCCGAACTCCAATTCCATCTGCCGTTTTCGAGCCGTCTGTATAATAGAGCACCACTCCTGCGAATGTACTTCTCACGTATGGCTCTAGAGACTAGTGCCTTCGGTAGATTCTTTCCAATGACACTATGCTTTTAAACGTTTACTATGGTTATCAGCATATGAATATATTATATAAAACAGCACAACGACAATATAAGTACACAAATTAATTATTTCGAATGAATAATCTTTAATTGCCACCGCCTCCCTACATTTCATAATACTGATTTTGAATGAACGGGTGCCATTACTCTACAGCGAAATTTATTTTTATGAGCCATTTCAATATTTACTGTCCCAGTGAAAGTCAAAATATATTTATTGCCTATATTCGTTAAAAAAAAAAATATTTATAATACATATATTGACAGCACGATTTTATGCCTCTTAACAGAAGATTAATTTTATTTACTGCTTTCTCCTACGACTTTTCTTCACAGAAATATCAAATTGGATAAAAGAAACCCAAGCGAAATCTGCTCTTCACATATACTACCCAAATTTGTCGTAATTATCAATTCTGGTCACGACGCAGACCCGACGAGAAGCACACAACCAACTAAGCATTGAGCACCAGCGGCCTAACGCTCCCACTATCACTACATACCCGTAGGCGTTTTTTCGCATTACTTTGTAGCCAAATGCAAACAAAGCACCATCAAACACGAGGAATACACGAATAAACCAAATATGCTGCACAATCAGAGTGTCGCGCCCACACTGAGTCCGACGGCGCCCGTTATGGTCGCGCTGACGACATCGTTCGTTGTACGCCCGACAATGGCAGTGCTGCCGGGAGTCTGCCCGCCCAATTGGAGCAGCAACAACACCTATGACTGTATTAACGCGACCATGGACAATGGTGTGGGCATGGGAGGCACTAGCGCAAGTTTTACCGGATTCCCTGGACAAGAAGGCGCAGCGGTGGGATATGATGGAAATTACTCTTTGCCACGGGATGGTCTGTTCGAATTCGAAATGGACCCATTGGAGCACGTTGTGTCAACCATTGTGCCCGTATTTTTTGGCATCATCGGCCTGGCGGGCCTTTTGGGAAATGCGCTCGTCATTTTAGGTGAGTACAATAATGAAAATCAAATATGTGTCGCGTACAATATCTGCGTACGTGTGTTGCCTGACTGAGTCTATTGACTTGTGCTCATTTGGATAACTGACCTCGCAAACACTTATATTTATGTACCCATATGTTTGTATAGTTAACAAATAAGGGTAGTGCGTGGGTGTGTGAGATAACAACTGCATGGATTTGTGGTTGCCAGCGCAAATCAAAAATCAGTGAAAAATATTGTCCCGCTCTGACTGTAAAGTAAATTTCCGAAATAACCGTCAAGGTACCTAATGATTCCCGTTTAATGTCTTCATTTGATTCAAAATGTTTTTCCTGGAATGGTCGTTTGATAAATAGTGGGAAGTCATATGGAGTTAAATCAGCCGAATGCGCGGCGTGCGGCACAATCTTAGTTAAAAATTTGGCGAAAAACTTACGAAGAAACAATGCAGCACGCGAAGATGCACATGATCTTTATTTATGTCCTGCTTTGGCGGGATTTTTTGGCTTCGGCCGATTGATCATCTGTTCCGGGTCGTAGGCATAGATTAAAACTCATCGCCAGTAATAATACGTCTCATGACATTCTGGTTTCACAGACGTTAACGCACAATAGTTAACACTGATCCTTCCGGTATTCCGATCCGGCGACACTAAGATCTCTGACTGTGAATCGTCGATTCTCAAGCGAAAGAACTGTGCTAAGTGAGTGGTCATAATTGTTCACCGTGATACAAATCAATAAAACATCATAATTTCGTAAGAAAAATTGCATTAACTTCGACCCAGCGACTTTCCCTAGATTCACTATTTTATTGGATTGTCTGGACAGAAATATGGTGGAATGGTGCAAAATGGGTGAGAAGCATGCAAAATTCCTTTTGGCACGCGATAGAAGAGATTGTAGGAACATAATCGAAATACTAACTGGTCACTGGTGGCAACACAGATCCGCAGAATGGGGCTAGCAGCTCGATAAGACTGCAGAAAATGTAAAGAACAAGGCAGGAAAGCAAGCACCTCTTGCGCACTTGTCCCGCATTGGCAAGACGTAAGTATCTGGGATCCACACGGTATGATACGCTAGAGGAGGTATCGGTAAAGAGGTCACATAGTCTGTTAAATTTAGCGTCAAACGCAGGCATCCTAAAATATGACTACTCCTTATGGACCTAATTTTAGAACTCCATCTGGTTTCGCAAAGGGCCAAAACTGGCCTATGCGTGACTCATTGGCCTACCAGGTTAACCTAACCTAAGCCTAGTTCCAGATATGATACATACATATAATATATATAAGAAAACGAAACGTTAGGATCCAATATTCATTCCAACTTTTACCATTAGATTCCAAAAAATCATGTTTTTGCATTTTAAAGAAATATCTTAAAAAATTATAGTAAAATGCAGCCAAATTATTATCCCTCGGTTTTTTAATTTCTTCCGTTCGCAATCAGCATTACTCAGCAACAAAAGTGAATATAATGATTGTTGCAGTAAAATATGTGTAATAAATGAGTGCTTACGTAAAAAGCTGGTATAAAAGTGTAGCAAAAGTGTTCAGGTGTGTACAAGCGTGCCGACGTTAAGGGCTCTTCAAGTGTAGAACCTACAAGTACTCAGTTAAAAGAGGATGTATACTATGACTTGAACGACCATCAGCATGTGGGGTATACATATGAACATACATACGTGTACTTATGAGCGCCTATGTACAAGAGTGAGTACGTGAACGGGCTAGTCAGGTGTCAGGCTGCAAACCAACCGCGCTTTGTTAAGCACATACGTTATTTCGGTGGCAAGTGGGAAGTCAAGGCCATACAGCAATAGTTTTTTTTTTTTCACTTTGTAATTTCCTTTCTTTTGCAAACCACTTCATCTGATAGCCATTGTGTCTTGCAATTTCATGTAGCCCACCATGGTATATCGATTAGCCTTGTACTTATCACAGTTGTTGTTGTTTGTCATTCAAGGGAATCCTTTGTTATAATTGCATTTTTACTCTCACACAAGTCTATAAGTTTTAGGTGTAAAATTGCAGCTTGATAAGTCGGAAAATTTTCTAGCTTTTTTTTTTCAAACCGAAAATTTGGTTCAGATGACTTCAAGGGAAAATTACCTTTAGAAAGGAACTCTTCATTCACCGCAAAACTATGTTTACTACAAAGAGAATAGATATTCAAGCATGTTAAACTCACATTCAATTTTAGATCTTATTTAAGCCAGCTTATCTTATCCTTATGCCATTGTGACAATGAACCAAAGATGGATTTATGGTCACAAACCAGTACTTGCAATTCACACAACAATCCCAAGGCGGATGAGTGTATTTCCGGAAAGATGTGAATGTAGCCACAAACACACGCAGCTTAAATACTTACTTGCACATAGATTTACAGTGTGAGCTATTAATATAGTATGCCTCTTTATCCTACAGCCCTTTAAATTTTTACTAGTTTATTGAACTTTTTCCACACCAGGGAGAAGCCTGAGTATAAATATTTTTTAGCGAAAAGCCTATCAAAAAAAAAAAACAAACAAACAATTAGGAAAAGTTCATTGCCCCGAATAAGTTTAGAAAGCCGATGAAAGCTACGGAAACTTAGTCAATATCCGGAAGATCTCGCTAGACTCATAGAGCTACGAGGAAAGCCACTAAAGATTGAGGATAAATGTAACGCGATTCAATGACAGCAGAGTAGGGTAAGAGAGAGCATATAAGGGTGAGCAAAAATACATAAAGCCATTGAGAAGCTCAAATAGCCGGGAAGAGAAGTGTCAAATGAGAACTTTGGAAACCGAGCGAGATGAGTGAGATTTCATAACGAGTGTTTCAAGTAGAGGTAGTTTTTTCAAACATTTCTTGACAGATCACGAAGACCGTGGAGAGTCCCGTTCCCACGACAGTCGGGTCTATGTAACCAGAACAGACCCGGATTTTTATCCGGCCAAGGACTGTCAACTCGGCAGAATTCTACCGCTACAACAACAACTGCAACAACAGTGGAGAGTCGATTTGGCGCCGTTCGCAGCAACACGGACTAACCTTTGGAACAACTGTACGCATTGTATGTACAGATTTTAAATTGAAAGCGTACTAAATATAGCTTGTACAAAGACTGAAGACCTTGACCTTCCCAAGCGACATCGCTTCGCTCTATGGGCTCTTGAATAGTTACAAGATGATTCGAACAAATTCATTTCATACAAATTGTTCAGCGATTAGGCCCATTACTAGGTCAATGGGCATATAAAGAGATTCAAAAGCTCCCATTTCACCCAAAAAAGTAACGGTTTTGTGTGGTTAGTGGGCCAGTGGAATCATCGTTCTATATTTCTTCAAAAATGATGCCGGTGAGAACGTAAACCTCAACAGTGATGATAACTGACTATTTAATGTCTGACGATTTGTCACCAAAATCATGTCTTATCACACCATTAGACTTTTCCTGTGGGGATATGCAAAGTCTAAAGTCTATGCGGACCATTCCGCTTTAATTCCAGCCTTGAAACAAAACAACACGCGTGGCACTTGCTAGTTGCCAGTCGAAATACTCGAGAAAGTCATCAAAAATTAGACTGGATGTATGGACCACCTCAGACCTAACCACGACCAACATTTGAAAGAGATAATCATCAAAGAATAAATGGCAAAGAATGTTCTTTCGAATGTTAATGAACATTTTTCATTAAAATTGAAGTTTTTGTGTTTTTTCATTCAATAATTAGAGAACCTCGAACAGGATCGCCTATACATTAAAAACAGTTTCGGTTTAATTTTTATGACACAGAGTGTATGCTTTTACATTTTCAACCGAAACATTTATTTTGTTACAATGATGCAACATTTTAAGGCGCCACTTGTTTTTGCATTGCTTTCACAACACACAATACAACACAGCCACTTGTGTTCTTGCTATTTCTGATGATGTTACAATCAAACAGACACCTTAAGACAGTTAGTGATACATAGTACACATTTGTGCTAATATAAATGTTGAAGGACGCAGGAATGTGCGAGTAGTTGCTTTATCTTAAATGGCTTACAACTTTGTTTTCATACAATCTAGTTCTACTAAGTTGCCGGAATATTGAATTCACATACATATATATAAAATTAATATATGCAATATATAGCTAAATATGGATTAATTTGTTTACATGCAAGAAAAGATCTGTGGGATTTGTAAACCACAACTTTGACAAGGCTTAGCATGTTTTTCACTCATGTTCTCTTGATGAAACTGTGCGCCAATATACATATATTCGTATATCGTTGTATGTTGGCATCATCCTTTATTCGCATAACAGATTACAACAAAGCAAAAAGTTTAAATTCGTGTCAAAACTTAGTTGAAATGAGTATGATTATGTGGATGTGTTCTTGGACAAAAATGAACCCAAACAAAAAAGCTATCAACGCAAAAGTAAAGCACCCGTTTTATTCCCTCTAACCACTCTTAAAAACTCTTCTGACTTTGTTTACAATCGCGCTGAGGATGTGTCACTCAACGCAGCATGTTTTATGGGCTCTCTGGAAAAAAATTAGCATTTGATAAGAGGAAAAGTAGCTCATTTCATCAAGTCGAGTAGTAATAGTGGTAAATGACACTTCGACTTAAAAATTTTAACATCTACGAATATTTGTATATGCTGAGCTAGTGAATATACGATTATGAGCAAAATTTAGCAATGCTTTGTTCATAATTTGCTGTCTAAATCCTAGGATAGATCACGTGACGACGTTGAAATATTTGAGCAGCATATCAGTAGTTACAGGAACAATAATCGAAATGTTCTTCCTGAAATTCGCCATACCATCGATGAAGCTTCATCTTCGAAAACTGAATTAAGTTAAGTAATGCACACCTGATGAATTAATCACATCGAAAGTTGTAAAAAATAATCGCTCGAAAATACATTCGAGATTTAATTCCATTTTTTGGCGAAGATGCATATTTCAAAAAGCGGTCGTTACGCTCTGAGTATACTATACTTCTCATGAAAACTGTTAGACTTTACGATAAAGTTGTGAGTTGCCAGATTGCAACTCTCTCTCTAATCTCTTGATTTACACGTTCTTCTACTTTAAAACAAATCGAAATAGAGCATATATGTATATTATTGTATAAGGTGGAATTAAAAATAATGCATTTCTAACCTAAACAACAAATAGAACTAATAGACTGAACAGTTATTGAATCAATTTTACATTCATCGCATCTTTTTTTACAGTGGTCGTCGCCAACCAGCAGATGCGCTCCACCACCAACCTGCTTATTATCAATCTAGCCATTTCGGATATACTCTTCGTGATTTTTTGTGTGCCCTTCACCGCAACCGACTACGTGTTGCCCGAATGGCCATTCGGCAACTTGTGGTGCAAATTTGTGCAATACATGATTGTAGTCACCTGTCATGGCAGTGTCTACACGCTGGTGCTGATGTCTCTCGATCGTTTTTTGGCTGTTGTACATCCGGTCACGAGTATGTCCCTACGCACCGAACGCAATGCAATGCTGTGAGTATACACAATACTTAAATTGGCCTACATATCGCTAATTGAGCTCGGCATTACGAGACAGAAAATGTCATTAACACAATTTTCTTTTTGCAGTGCCATCGTTTGTGCTTGGGTGGCCATTGTGACATCGGCCATACCCGTGGCGTTATCGCACTCCGTTCAGCTATACTATTTCAAAGGACGTAATTACACAGCGTGTGTCTTTTCATCGCATGAGGGAATCTGGAATCTCGTTGCTTTTCAGGCAAGTGACACACTTTTTATAACAGCTTTTCACTGAATGTTAAGAGAATTCGACATATTGTTCTTGCGTTAGTGCCGATTTTTTTTTTTTACTCAAGTTAGAAATAAGAGATGTAAGCTTTATTTCTTTATGGAATGGCACAATCAAGAAACTTTCAACAAAAAAAAAACGTCTTTATTCTCCAAAAAAAAAAACACGATATCTAATTAATACTATACTTCTATCCTACATCGAAATTACCCGTATCGTATCGGCCTCAGAGTCCATATTCATTTCAGTCTGTAGATAATTATATCAATGTAGCACCAGTGGTTGTGTTCTGCGTAGTTCAGGAAAATAGTTTTCACGTCTCTGCCTCCCTTACGTTTGTCAACTGCGACCTACTTGTACATACATAGGTGATTAAAATACAGATCAACCCAACACAATGGAGCTAAAGAGGGTGGAAGTGCGGCAGATGCCGAAAAGAGGAAGAAGTGGAGGATATCAAATGGGAAGAATACCTCCAGACCACCTCTTCGTCGATTGCTTTCTCCAGACTAGATAAGAAAGCATATGGATGTGGTTGTGAACGAGGATAAGGCGAAATATTTTTTGTCATCAAACAAATAGTCGTCGCAAACGTGACTTGGCTTCCACGTCATTGTTGATAGTCATAACTTCGTAGTCGTCGATAATTTCGCCTATCTTGAAACCAACAATCGAACGCAGAATACCACTCCAACAGGTGCTACTTTGAACTAAGTAGGCAAATGAGAAGTAAAGTCCGCTTTCGACGAACAAAGACCAAACTCGACAGGTCTCTCATCAGCACCGTCCTGGTATATCTTGCAGAGGAATGGACGATGGCAACATCAGTGAGTCGACGTTACGAGTTTTCAAGAGAAAGGTTCTACAGAAGATTCATGGTCCTTCGCGTATTGGCAATGGCGAATATCGCAATCGATGGAATGGTGAGTTGTACGAGATATACGACAACATTGACATAGTTCAGCGAATTAAAAAACAACGCTGACTAGGTCATGCCATTCGAATGGAAGAAAACACTCCAGCTCTGGAAGTACTCGACCATAAATAACAACGTAAGAGGTATTACGAATAAGTATATTGACTGAATTGCTAAGAGTACTTGCTACTTACTACTACTTAAAGGCACTTGCACAGCTGCGGCAGCCACTTGTATATATGTATTTATAAGCATATACAAGTACTTATGTATAAAGGGATTTGTGTCAATGGAGCATATTGTAAGCATCGTGGCATTTTTTGCAGATTATTCGCACAATTGTCGTGGTGATTTTGCTCTTCTCAGCAGATCAGTAAATAATCTACATCCAATATATGTATGTATATAATATATATATTTTCATTGAATTGTGACGATTGGAGAAAGCACTTACAACTCTTAACGTAGAGCTTATTCATGGTCGAAGTAACCCAATTATGCAGTTGTATGTGAGACAAAACACTTTTTGAATACTTGCAGACATAAGGGAAATTAATTAAATCGAATCACTAGGATGGTAAAGGTCAGTAGGAGATAATGCAGCGGCCTATAAAATGAATGAGGGTTATCGCTAGTTATGTCTATGTGTAGTGAAAGTGATAGGTGCTTATGTATATCATTCGGTCAAAGCTTATTCTTTTAGAAAATAATATCAAAGCGTTACTAAAATAATTTTATTTTGTCCTTTCTTATACTATTATTTAATACTAATTTTCGAACTTTAGAAAAAAACCTACTTAGGGACTAGTTAGTAATAAGTGTTAGTCGAACTAACAAATGTAATTGACCACAACTTAACCTATAAATCAAAAGTAAGTGCCAGCTAATTTTAAATCAGCAAATACCTACAGGACTATCAACAAACGCGCTGCAAATACGTTTATAATACTTTTCAAATGTTCATATTNCAGCGGCCTATAAAATGAATGAGGGTTATCGCTAGTTATGTCTATGTGTAGTGGAACTGATAGGTGCTTATGTATGTCATTCGGTCAAAGCTTATTCTTTTAGAAAATGTTAATATTGGAGCGTTTTTAAAATAGTTTTTTTTTTTGTCCTTTCTTATACTATTATTTAATACTAATTTTCGAACTTTAGAAAAAAACCTACTTAGGGACTAGTTAGTAATAAGTGTTAGTCGAACTAACAAATGTAATTGACCACAACTTAACCTATAAATCAAAAGTAAGTGCCAGCTAATTTTAAATCAGCAAATACCTACAGGACTATCAACAAACGCGCTGCAAATACGTTTATAATACTTTTCAAATGTTCATATTYTTCTTTGACAATWTATTTGTAACYWTGCCGRAAGYATACTTGCGGATTCGCTTTCATRTTTGCGAGCCAAACAAGCATCCGGTGTAATGAAATGAAGAACAGCGAGGATAATAAGACAGACATTTTAACTATAGCCGCAAGACGAACGTTTGATGGGTATCAATAATAGAAATGGCAAATTGCCTGACATACCGGAACATATAGGTGTCATTACCCCAAAGCGAAATCTATAGAATATAACTAGTGTAAGCAGCCAGCTAGTAAAACCACTGTATTTTTTTGCTTACACTCAGCCAACATCTTTATACCTATTCGAGATGTCAAACGTCAAATTTTAGTATGAAGTTATCAGTTTTGTTCAAGCTTGCATTATTTTTAATAACATAAGGACGGGTTCCACAAACTAAAGTAAGCTTTTCATCTGCATCAGCTTTCCAAAAATAAACTGAAAAAGATCGGTTTTCTTTTAACAAGTTTATTTTAGTCAAAAAAATTGTAGTTACTTATATTTTCTCACCGACTAACTTGTTGTTTCCTACGGGGAACTTCATTGCATCATCGATACACAGACAACACAAAAATCTAGAAATACACGCGTCTGTAAGCCTGAAGGACAGTTCAACAAATCTTCATGAGAATTCAAGCATTTCGAACGTGCGTCTTTCATAACTATCATATTTCGAGATTTCCATTTTCAACACAGCTCCATGTGTATAGTACATACATACTCGTATACTATATATCATCACATGTAAGTATGTAGTTCTAATCGCCTTACTGTAACGTGACGCTGCGCTGTCTTAAACTCTCCTAAATACACACATAAATACATCACTACTGCGAATATTTGGTCTATTACCTGATTGAGAACTCATCGAAGCATCACATCTTCCGCTCGCTTTCAAAAGGGTGGCACGCTTAATATGCTATTTATTTTTGTAATACCACAATTTTTGACACTACGTAGCTCCATGTCACTAATAAGCTGGAACTCATGAGCATTTTCGGATTACTACTAATATTACGACTACTATTTCTGACATTTAAAACACTTTTGAAATCATTTGACTTAAGTTGTCGTAAGCAAAGGAATTGCCCGTCGAAAGAGTTTTATGTTTCTACTGGCTTGGCTCCCACTGCATTTATGTGACAACAACTTTGTATTATTTTTTATTTTGTTGTGATGACCTTGAACTTGCAATCTGTTTTCCTTTTTATCGTTGCCAAGTTTGTGTTATTTATTTGCTTAGGGAGTTGTCGCGTATATTTTATTACTTTATGATGATGTGATGTGATGTGAGTGAAGTTCTTAGTATATTCCACAAGCACGTTAAGATGCAATATATTGAGATAGGTTTGAGTATTGAGCATCGGAACAAGGTTTTGCCATATACAAACTGAGCATTCATGATTCGCTCTTTGGAGACCAAATACAGTTAAATAGCTTATTTATGTACTAGTATTGTTTCCCACCCAACTTTATTCTCTTCAATAGCTCTCTTATCATGCGCATATGCAACATGGAAATTAGCATGCGAGAGCTAACGTATAATCCAAGGCTGGAATATCACTTATGATTAAAAGATGAATCGACAATTTTTGGTCCGGTTAAGAGAAAGCAAAGACTGAAAACAACTTAAAAAGGCTTAAGCGTGAAATTTGTAATCTGTCAAAATAAAATATCTTGAATATGTTTCTAATAATAGTTAAATTATCATAATTTAAGAGCTAAATAAATTCAAAACCTACCCACAAGATAACAAAACGGGTATATTTGTTATTAATTATTGTTTTTAAATGCACCTAATTCTATAGGATTTTAGATCATAATTCAATTAAGGAGCTTCTTACTAAGGCTTTGCGACTTCGAAAAGTTTATCCTCAAACTTGTCGCAATGAAAATATTTATTTGTGTTTTATACTCGAGCAGCAGCAGTTGTCATTTCATTTTCAAGTCATATATTTTCATATCCACACAGCTGTTTATTTGAATATACAGACGACAGCCAAAATACAATGAACTCTGAAAGTTATTAGCAAGCGTTGACAAAGGAAATAAGTTGGCATAACTTGCCTATTTATTGCTGACATTTACATATTATATAATTGCCATTAATTCATATATTGATAAACTCGCAAACATCTACCTTATATATATTTACTTGTATTGAATTCTTTCCGCGAATGTGTCGCTTATGAGCTTTCACTTTCAATTAACACCAGAAGCCGCCGATAATTTCAGTTTTTTTAGAACACAAAATTATTACTTGATTGTGCGAGTAAACTAGAAAGAGCAAGCGATTTTAATGCGTGTGAGAGAGCATGTTTAAAGGGATCCAAAAATTTTAAATCATAAAAGTATGATTCATGCAATACCGCGCTAGTTGTTCTAACTACGAAAACTTAACTTCCTAAAAATCTTCGAAAATATATTAAAGCGGTTTTGGAAAGCCACTGGAAGATTTTTGATAGTAGAAGGCGTGTCCTGTTATCTACTGAGGAACTATCAGCATTCTGATAGTTAACTGATATCCAAGTACTAATTTATATACTATATTTCCATATTTTATTTGATTTTTGCATCACTATGCTTTGAGTCTAAATTTAAACTCGAAACATTATTTTCGTATTTCTAATGAAACCAAAACTTATTTTTTTCATATTCATACTAATAAATAAATAAACAAATATCTACCATTTTGGTCGTCCACTTTTCGTCATTTTTTCCCTTAGAGACATTATTCCTTTCCCGAATTTAATTTTTTTTTTTTTTTTTTTTTTTTTTTTTTTTTTTTTTTTTTTTTTTTTTTTTTTTTTTTTTTTTTTTTGTCTAAATCAAGCATAAAATCTCACCTCTCTGGAGATATATGACTGAAACGACATCTACTGACAAAATACGAAAAAACTTTTTTGATTACCCAATATAATAATAAAATTCCATTTCTGCCTTTAACCTATTTTAACTGATGCGTCAATTGCTGGCTCGGTCGCACCTTTCAAGTACACAGCAAATAGCTGAAACAGATTTACGAGCGACTACTTTCAATATTGTTGGCTGTGTATGAATAACCAGACGTCAGTGATCATGTAACGTTTAATCGAATATTACAAGAGATTAATCATTTGAGAAGAAATAAGGTGAATTAAAAACCAAACACAAAATGACTAAATAAAGTTCTTAAACGATAAATGCAATCGAAGAGCTCTCATATAGAGAGGCATACATAAAGAGCGTGGTGTAAAAACAATGATACATAATTTAGAAATACTTAACGGGGTAATTAATCCGCTCATTATTCAACAGATGAAGCTATAGACAAAACGCCGCTAAATTCCTCATTCCAGTCTGCCTTCATTGGAAAAAATTTCAATTATTTACATGAGAATGAATTTCATGAAAGAAATGGAGAATTATGTACAGTATACTTTTTACTAACATTTACTATTTATCATTAAGGTTTCAAAATAAAACAGCTTTAAATATTAGTCAGAGAATAGAGGCTAAAAAGGAGAAGAAAACATGATAAAATAAATATCAGAATAGTGCAGAATACGAATAAAATTTTACTACATATATTCTTTCTGCCTCGCCAATAGCAAACATCATCTCCAAATAACTGTAAAATGTTTACGGGTCCCTCGTAAGTCGGACTGTTAAAGTGTGCTGGCTTTTAAGGACAAACAAATAAATTCAGCCATAAAATTCCGTGTAAAGTCAAAAATAAGTTGAATAAAGCTAGCAAGCAATCGTCAGCATTACGGGTTCGAAAACAAAATGACAATATCAAATTCAATGAATTGGAAAACGAAACTCCACGAAAGCCATAAAAGCGTGTATAAAGTGCGAACGAGCAAGCGTATTGACGCTTACAACAATAGACGTGTAAAACTGAAATGCAAATGCCGCGGCACTTGTATACATATTGGCCACGAATTGTCAAATAGAGGAGAAGGAGGCAGCATGTAAAAACACCTGTATGTTTCCACGTTATTTTTGCTGAATTGCAAACGAACAAAGGTATTGCGAAACAATAAATTTTGCAGTAAGAAATAACAAGCGTATAGTCAGGTTGACTGCCATGGCCACTGCAAATAAATTGAGGTTGAAAACGTTATGGGAAATACTTTTCAAAAATTCGGTTAAATTGATGTATTGAAATCGCTTCTATGGAGGCAGTGCGACTTCTCGACTTGAGTCAAATAAAAGCGACGAAGCTTTTACTAACATTTAATAACGAAGCGACGAAGCTTTTATTTCGCTATTTTGATATAAAAGTGTTTCGATTTCGGGAAAAGTTTGAAGTGAATTGTAGGTCCAGAAAAAGCTGGGCTTAAAGCAGTCTACATCCTCTGTACATACATAATTTGTGATTTATAATAAGCTTATGTCTCAAGAGAAATAGGTACTCGATTATGATTGGATAATGAAGGCTTACAAGTCAGAATAATAAGCGCTGAGCTCTTAGCAGACATTCCAACACATTGTTTTTGTACGGGCCTTTTATTTCCAATTTACTTACTTACAAAAGTAAGTATGATTACACGACCTTTTCAAGTGACCCTTTAAGTACCTTCTAAAAGGAATCGTAACTTCGCCAGCCGTGTTAGTTTTATTTACCGTAAAAAGCGCCTTGCCGTAGTCTTGAACAGAAAAAGTGAGAAAGGCTAGCAATTCTTTAGATGCTCGGCACAACCTTGGTAAGACCAATTCTGCTTTACGTTGCAGTAGTATGATGGACAGACTTACGGAAATCCATCTACTGAAAGCCAATGGGAAGGGTTCAGAGTCTCGCTGAGCTGTGCATAACGGGCGCTCTTGAACTGGTACTAAGCCTGCCATCTCTTCGCTAAATTATGCTTAGCAAAATCGACTGTATGAACAGATGTACATAGATGTAGGACCTTCGCGAATAGCTGGATGGGTAATGATGGTTTGGCAAGCTCCGACTACATGATCACACTTTTCAACTGAGAAAGAAGATTCGAAGTAAACATAAAAAAATATGGTTAACATAAAGATATGTTAGCTGCGCGCAACAGTTATACGGATGGCTCGAAAATGAACTACAGAGAAGAGTTCGTCATAAGATAGCCTTTTAAGTTGTCGGACCACTGCAGTTATGTTAAGTTGAGAGCTTCGCGTCGCGAACATGGCTTCCACTGCACCTGCAGGCAATTCCAGAGTCAACATTTACGTAGATAGCCAAGCAGCAATCAAGACAGTAATCTCGTATCGCGTAACCAACAGAATTGTTTCAAGAAGCATGGCAACAATAGAAAATGTTGCAAGCAGCAGGCAACTTTCAGCGACACACACCAGCAAAATGGGGCTGACAGATCGACAAGACTGCCAGCGGTGTCTAGAGTAAGGCACCAGGGAAAGGAGATGCTCATCTTGTGCACTCTTCCCGCATTGGCAAATCTACACTGTAAGCATCTAGATTCCCCACGGTATGAGGCCACAGTCTGTTTAATATCGCGTCAAGTGCAGGCATCCTAGAATATGACTGCTCTTCAAGATCTGCAAAACTGTACTCCATCTGGTATCGCAAAGGACCAAAACTGGTCTATGCGTGGCTCATTTGCTTACCACACTAACAAAACAAAGCCGGTCCTTTCTATGTGGTTTGTTTAAAGCCCATTAACTTTTTGGTACTAATGAACTGCCATTTCTCAGATTAAGTATTTACTACATAAAATCATTCGTTCGTTTATTAATTATTATAATGAGATATAAAACAAATTTATTCCAGTTACACCGTATACAATAAATACTATAGCCAATTGCATCGCAGAACTTTGATCTACGAAGCATGACAGCTTAATCTAGCGCTGTGCAATTTGTGTGTTGCCTTTATTGAATTAAATTGGATTACGTCAGATTTGGCAGCGTGTTTGAATGCTGCGTTAATTACACAACAGTTAGCTGTTAAGTGATAAGTGAGCGAACAAATGACTGGCAATAAAAGTGGCTAGCGATTAACTAGAACAACAACTTAGAACTTATATATGTACATGTCTGTGTTTACATAATCTTCAAAGCTTCCAAGCGATACAACGTCTGGCTATCAATTTACAATACGAACACATAAAGTAATGAGTAAATGAATGAGCTTCCGGGAAATTGCCATGAACATTTGTGTACCATGCATATAAGTAATAATTTAATATTAATTAATATCTGGTGTATATAGGTTATAGCATTAGTTATCTGATAAATTTAGTTAATGATATTAAATTGAAATATCTTCTAATACAACGTTTCTGCAGCAAATGTCTTTCATAGAAGATACGTATTTTCTCCTTTCAGGTCTCTTTTGCCGCTTCATCATACGTTACACCACTGACGCTGATCTTCTTCTTGTACATGTGTATGCTGGCACGCTTATGGAAGAGCGCTCCCGGCTGTAAGCCATCGGCAGAATCAAGGTAAGCAAAAAAGTTTTAAGCCAAAAAAGAAGTAAATCAATGAAAGCTGAGCTCTTGAGTAGCATGCTTTAATTACACACACACATATTCGAACACACGCATACACAAATCGAAGAGAAGTTATAAGCAAACGTTACGCAAGAAGATTCTTAGTTCATTCAGTCATTCCATCTTTCATCCAATTACTCGTTCGCGTCGGTATGTCCGCGATAGGCTGACAGCCAGGTGAAACATGCCCACGCATCAAATTAAATTACATAACTACTGACGTACATATGTATATACGTACAGCATGTGAACATAAATAACATCATTAATCGGTAGATAATTAATACGCGTTTCGCTTAAATCTCGTCAAACCAACGCTATTTGTGCGCAAGAAATCCGCGAAAATGTTGCGCGCTCATGCTTGCAACTGAAAATTTAATTATAGAATTGTTAAAATCATTCGTCTTACAGTTTATCGGCGCTGCTGGAGCTGAACGAAAAATTTTTTGGTCTATCTTGCGCTTTTCCAGCCTTTAATATTTAATTGTATAAGCATATTCGCAGTTTTTTAAGTGCAGAATGCAACTTTCGCACCAAGTTTATCGATGAAAATTATTTTATGAACTGAAGCATTATTACATTTAGTTAAAGAAGAGATTTTTACTAGTAACTCAAAGACAAATTTACTGAAACGCATGAAATAGATCAGCTGTTAACCGTTAAATTCCAAAAGCTTCTGAATGTTTTCAAAATTCTATCTTTTTGAGATATCCAACTTTGTGCAACTCGCTAAATTAAGCTTACTTACAAAGTCAGCGAACCAAAAAGACAACAGAACATAGTGAAAACAAATAAACTGAATAGAAAGGAGTAGTTGAAATATAAGAAAATTACGAGAAGTGTAGAAAAGTTTAAAAAAATTACACAAAAAATTACTGAACAAGAAAGTAGAAAACAATGATGAAAAAATAAAAAACAAAGGTAATTAGTGCAGGGAAAAGATACCAAAGCTTTAAGAAAACCAACAAAGAAGCAGCGGAGTAAATGGTGAATGCTCAAATGTTATGAGCAAGAATACGAGGCAGTTTTTAGCACTTAAGATCAAATTTGACTTGAACTCGGATAAACATTTTTTCTTGATAAGTCAAACTTTTTCTTCAATGCAATGTTGAGTTTTGCGGCTGTTTGTTTACGACGCCGAATTTTATATATTGTGTCTCATAGGAGAAAGCCACATCTGGCGAATATGGCAACTGGCCGATGTCTCTGGTTTCCTGTTTTACCAAGAACTTAGTATTTTGATATGCGCATATGGTTGACACGCTTCACACCCAAAACATTTACTATGTTGAGTCGATGTATAAGGGCACATATGACACACGCTAATTGACATATGGAAATTAAATTAATTGAATTTAGTTAAGGATGAGAAGTGCCGTGGCGTAGTGGAAAGAAAACAGACTATCTGAGACGCTTTCAAAACCGGAACATACTCCTGCAGAACCCCCAGAGGTGATCCAGTTACCGATGCCCAGAGCACACAGAAATTATGGACGAAACACTTCTCCAGCCTGCTGAATGACAGTGAAAACATAACAGCAGGAGATGGTGAACCTGATTCCACAATCGATGACGATGAAGTACTCGTTTCATTACCCGACCATGAAGAAAAGCCACAATACGACGACAGAGAACTGATAAGGAGCATGCATCAACTACCTTTTTGTAGAATATGGTCGGACAAAAACATGCCCAACGGTTGAAGTTTAAGTGTGCTCTGCCCAATCCAGAGAATAGGAAACCCATCAATTTGCGTCAACTATTGTGAGATACGCCTCCTCAACAACGCATATAAGATTCTATCGAATGTATTGTGCGAAATGACATCCGAATGGACAAAACATTTTAGCTCCGAAAGTATTCGAAGCAGAGGAAGAGGTAAACCTTCACTGCTTTAGAAAGAACAAGTGGAGAAGGGCCTAAATACCCGTGGAGTCTCCAATTGGCACCAAACCTCGAAGAGGAAGAACAACAGGCGCACTGTTGTAAACTCAGCTGCAACCGCGTAAACGGTGTCTTCGCCAATAAAGAAGAAATTACATTTTCATACGATCCTAAAAAGAGGTTGTACTCATCTTAAAAAAAAGTGTATCGATTCGAATAGCACGCGCAGTTTAAATGCACAAATCCGAATTAAGTTTGATCTTAAATGTACTTAGCCAACTACCTATAGTTATTGGTACTCAAGGGCTTGAAAATCGGACCCAACTATATAAAAACTCTCAGTAGCAGCATAGGTTCTCAGAGAGAAAATGTCAACAACTAGCTGCGATCAACAGGTGTTGGAGACACAAAAAAGCCAACAAAATAACACAAAGCATTTACATTTATCAAAAATTGAAATAGTCATCTGTGGGATGGTGATTCATGGTTTCGATATAACCATTCAATAACTGAATTCAAAGTCTTGTAATTTCGAAACCTTCTTCGCATATTCCATTATTGAAATATTTTCATCACTTCTTCTTTTACAGGAAGGGCAAGCGGCGTGTAACACGGATGGTCGTTGTGGTTGTGTGTGCATTTGCCATATGTTGGCTACCAATACATGTAAGTTTCAAATAAATCCATAGCATAGTTTTTTTTAACACCCTGCAGCTAAAATTCTTAGACGCGCTACTATTTGTATTCTCATATTAACATTTTTTGTAGAATAAAGAGTCTAATACTAACTTCATGGCATGATTTCAGAATTTCTTCTTTCTAAAGGAAGAAATCATAACGAAGGACATTCAATTACATTTTTGAAGGAAGGTGATATGGAAAAATCTGAACAGTTTTTCCTCAAATTTCCAGCTTTCGCTAGACTGAAGCCGAAATATATATTTGTGGTCTTATAATAAGACGGAAAATCCGGCCAATTTGCCTAATTGAGCTGACCCTGTTCTTGCTCTAGCATTTGCTGCAGTCTTCTCGATCTGTCAGCACCATTCTGTGAGCGTTTGTCGCCACCAGACAACCATTGTCTACTAGAAAGTATCCAAAGTAATTCTGACATCAGCATGCAATAGCTATGAAATTAGTATATATCTTGCTGTAAATTGATTGCTGGCTTCAAAATTTGTTTATCGTGAGCTAGAGAACAAATTACCAAGAGATAGGTTGATTATACTTGGTTCGGTTCAATCGGAAATCACACATATCAGATAAATGGCTATGGGATAGTTATATCATTCTTTCTTGTAATAGTTCAGACCTCTCAAGACACTGTTCTAAATACATTATGCAATAGCAGATATGCTATCAGTTTTCGTGACTTTATAATTTTCCATTGAGTCTAGTGCCTTTTTAAAAAGGTTAGCAATATCCACCTAATGTAGAACAGAGCTATAAGCTTGCACTGCTGCCAACGAGACAGCAAAATGCACTTCTTTAAATTTGAAAATATGATCCGAAGCAGGGATGCAATTTTTTGGTAACATTACAATATAAAACTCGGATATTTCTTGATGTCTTCCATTGAAGCACCTACGCTAACCAATTCAAACGCATTATATTACGTATATACGAATACATAACTTATAAACTCTTATGCCATACGCTATTTTTATACGCATATTAATCAAATGACCTCCAAGAACACACAATTACATCTACTTGGACCCTTATGTAAATACACACTGCAGAACTCTCGACAACTGCACATAATAAATATGAATATTTTCTGAAGTTTCGTTTGACTTTCCCTCTTTACAAGCTCAATATTACTGCGAGCTAACGTTTCACTTCGAGCATGGCTATAAAGTATGAAATTGAATCAAATCACTCAATAAATCACATGCGTAGCGCATGTGGCTAGCCGTTCGACATGGCGTATGAGCGATATTAAAATCAACATAACAACACGAAAACTTTTTACATGTGCTTGTGGTGTATGTATGTGGGAATTTTGTAAAGCTTTCATATTTCTGCCGTCAATGGTCATATGCCATTGGTCTACTTGTATACATATTTCTGCACAAATATACATTTGGCTTTTGCCAGAACTCAAAGCCAACCTTATATTACATTTTTCTTTAATTAAAACAATGAAAAATCAGGAAAAATTTCTCTGAAAGAGACAAAGGAGGAAAGTTGAGCACAATTGAGTGCCAAAGGATCTCCAGTACAAAAATGAGGTATGAAGGATGAAATTTTTGCTGGGAACGCTAGAGCTTGACCTTGCTAGTTGAAAATATTGTCGCTCGATCTATGAAGCTTTGTCAACAGTTCCTCAAATTATTCGCGCTGAACGAGCAATCAATATACTGAATTTTATTTTGTTTCATAAGGCACTTTTGCTCTTTTACGTAACCTCGATGGAAGCTTTTCGCATAGTTCCATGAAAATATTTGAAAAAAAACTATAAATTTTTGACTAAATAATGTGGAATTTTCTAACAATATAACAATTTTCTACAGGGTACATTCATAGTGTTTGCGTGATAAAAATGTCACAATCGGACATATATTTGCGAATATTTATGCATATACGTATGTAATACGAGTACAATGGAAACATATTTTGTAAACAAACAAGAAGTGTAATATAAGTGCATATATTGTAGTACTTGAATATATATTTTTCGGTTGGTCTGGTCATACTACTGCAAAAACATAAATACTGTTCTTAAGTAAATACATATATATATAGACATGGGTGTGCAGGCCAAAAGCTCAACAATGCTGACTTCAAGCAGTTATTAAATTTAGGTTTGCATATGTAAGTGAAGACAGATTTGTATGTGATATATATAATACAATGTTGGTATGTATCTCTCTGCAAGTGAAAATAAGCTTGGATGAGCTAAAAGAACTAAAGTATTTAGTTTATTTTTGTTTCATATAAATAAATATTTTCTGAAATTCGAATTCTGCGAAAAAAATAGAAAAATTTCTCAGTTTTAGTTTAAAAATTTTTAGTTTATAACCTCGACTGAAAGGCTTTTAAGGCATTTGAATTTTATAGAAATATAAAATATTTTCCCTGACACACATAAGAATTTTCATAAAATAACAACAAAAACTTTACTGCATACAAAAATGTGCAGCTTAAATAAAAATGCACTGAAATCGGGAAAATGCACACGCTAAATTGGATATACAAAGGTAAATACATAGTAGAACATGCTTCTCGCTGCAGAAGTAGAAAACAATTAAGCCAATAACTTTCAACTAAATTCGAGTGATTCAATTTCATAATGTCATACAGACGAAAGCTACCAGCTCCAATTCGAAAGAGCTAATTATCAAAATTAGAATATTAATAGAAAACCAAAAAATTTTTTAACCTCAGTTTCACCAAAGCTATAACACCTGCCATAAGTATAAGAGATCCCTTGTTAGGCACCTTCGATCGATCAGTTATGGCAGCAGTCTAGATGCTCTAAATGTCCGATCTGAACAATTTATTGAGATCATTGACGTAGACAATAACCCGTGCCAAATTTCATAAATATTCATTTCTGTTCGATATCTCAAAAACTAAGGCTCTAGGAATAAGGGAAGCATTCACCCGATTCAACTCACTTTAGACACACCGGAAGATGAATTTCAATTGCATTCCTTAGACGTTGGCCAATATTTGAGATAAAAAGTCAACTATAGGCACTGGCGTCTAAATATTCAGTACCTAGGGGCTTTAATAGTTTTTGTTGTATTTGAACAATTTTTTGTCAAAAAGTGGCATACCCTAAAGAAGTCTGTTAAGTCTGTATACTTACATGGCAACTAATCCATTAAGTGTTGGGTTTTTTTTTTTTTTTTTT